TATGTCTTTACTATGCAGCCATAATCGCATAGTACTCCATTCCGCTAGTAACCAGTACCCCGTTTATTATATATAAATACTTAAATATCGAACATTTACAGGTAGTTTTAGTAATAAATTTAAATAGAAATAAAATAATTATAATTTATTATTTATATTTAAAAACAGTGAATATTTTTTTTTAAAATATTTTTCCATTATTTCGACTATCTTCGATAGTCATCTTGAGGGAAAACTGAAAGATAGTTTTAATATTAAATAATTTATGACAGAAACTGTATGTGTCGATCCTATCTTCTCTCCAGAGAAGCTTCAGATTTAAAAAATTCAAAATTCTTCATAACATCCATTCTCTGTAAGTTAAATATAATTATGCTTAAAACTACTAATTAAATTTAAATGACATTTTTATATATACTTTTGATTTACTGTAATAATATATTGTTTCATAAAAATTAAGAATTTCTAATAAAAATGTAAAGTTTTTGCTTAAATTTGGTCACATTTGCACCAAACTAAATGATAATTTATGTAATTTTTAACTAAAAAGATAAGTTGTAATTTTTTATAAACCAGGGATAAACCTTTAGTGGTCTACGTATTTTCGAAAACCAATTCAACGATCAAAGAGTTTATGAAGAACACAACCAGTGGAGGATTTAGCAGCAACGAGACAATAATGCATTGCGGAGGTAGATTTTTGTAACAATTTATTTATTTATGGGATGCATATTAATTTTCTTAAATACTAAATACATACTTTTAATGATATAGTTTAGATTTATTTTATTCAATAATTTTATGTATTTCTTTAGAGGTCTTTTATTTTTAGAAAAATATATATGCAACGCAATTCAAGTGCACGCATTGCTTTCGTTAAGTACAAAATTCAAAATTTTCTAAGGTTAATTAAATTGTTATATTTAAATTGGATTATAAATGCTTAATTTACATACTGCATTCAACGTTGTTCCTTCAATTTTTATTTAATATTCATCTCTATACATACTATACGAATATGTACACTTTTCTAATTAACGACTCATGTAAAAATTCAAATTAATTTTAATTTATTAATTTTATACAACATTAAACAGGGAGAAACCTTTGGCGTTGTATGTAATGAGTAAATCGAAAAAAACAATTAAATTGTTTAAGAAGAACACTTCCAGTGGTGGGGTTTGTTCAAATGATCTTCTAGCCCATTATGGAGGTATATATACGCATATAAATTTTTCAAAATGTCTTTGTTAATATGACAACATATTTATTATTGTAGTTATATATATATAATTCTTTTTCGTATATGCTAGTGATACAATGTATTTAAAAATATGGATTCAACAATAAGTAAATTAAAATATTGACAAATGTAGTTATAAAATTAAAAAAAAAAATTGTATCATATAAGCTATTAAGAGAACGTCTATCGGATTAAGTAAAGTAGGAATAATAAAGTTAAATTTCAAAATTTTTCGGGTAAAAATTGAAAATTACGACAAGAGTTTTATATGATTATTTTTTTCTAGAAATAAATCACGAAAAGATTTTGATTGGTTTTTAAAGAACTAAAATAGTTAAAAATTTTTTAAAAATTTAACCTAGTTTTATCATATATTATCTGTTTCGAATAGAAAATGGGGTAACACAGAAAAAAATTTCACATTCAAAACTTTTTTTGTACTAATAATTTAAATTAAACTAATTAAAACTAATAATTAAACTAATAGTTGCTTCGAAAGACCTCTTATGTTGAATATTTGGTAGTATCCGAAACGACTGTATTCACTTAAAAAAATTGTTTGGATTTGAAAATTTCCTCACTCTACTATAAAAATTTTAATTCGATTTATTTTGGGTTAGCAAATAAAATTTTTTTAAACTTTTATACTGATTAAATTGATTGTCTTATATAATGTACAAATTATATATTGACACTATCTTGTTAAGACCATATATCGTAATATACGAAATAATCTAATATCTGCCACAAAAAAATTCTACAATGAATAATTTTTGCAACGTTTTCGATTGATGGTATAGTCCTATCATTAAGTAAGTTCACTATATAACTACAAATTACTTATTAAGAAAATAGCTGAAGCCGGATTTATAATGAAATCTATTATCACCACAATGTCATTTTAATTTTTAAATAAATACGATCCAATTATACCTACAGATCATAAATTATACTATAAACTTAATTTTTGGAGATGTCAACGTATTCCATGAAGAACACCTAAATTATCTTCACTTGATGATTATGATTCTACAGTTTTTACTGTAGAAATTACATATAAATTACATATAGACCCATTTTTTTTTGAAGTACCAGACCTTTTATGTACATTTCTAATATCATGTAGATTGTCAACGCTTTTTGCGAATGAATTGATGTCCATGAAGCTATATTCCTGAGACGTGCCAGAACTTAAGTTTATCGGTGAAAATGGTTATTTAATGATATAATGCACCTGTTATACCTGTTATATTATATAAAATAATTTTATTACTTTTCGATATAATATATCAGAAATTTTAAATTTTATATGGGATTTTAACATTTAATAAATCAATACCTGGTTGGTTTCTAATTCAATTGTATATTAAATAGTGATTCCCCACTAATATACAATTTATCGCCTTAATTTATGGCCTCACGGTTCGTTTATAACTTCCAAACTTAGAGTATTTAACCATATAAATTTACTGCTTTTCCTCCAATAATATGTAGGTTAGGTTGCCACTATATCCTACTGTTCCACTTAAATCTGCTAACCTTTTGTGTTGTCATAATGAACAAAAAAAATATTTAAATTGGAACAAATTAAAAGAAAAACAAACATTTTCATGACTAATACATTTTTTTATTTTATTTATTATTTAAAAATAAAATTAAATTTGAAAAATTCAAAAATTTATGCTTAGTATAATAATTGCTATCGTAGTTTTTTTTATTTGATTAAGCTTAATTTATATATTTTTCTTTTATGTGGGTTAATGGGTATTATTATGTAGTTTTTGCTATAGTAAATGAAAGTACTATTTACTATTTTATAAATAATAATAATTATAAGTACTGTTTATATTAACTTTTAGTTGAACATAATGCTTTAATAATACTAATTTACTACTTACTACTTTCTATAAAGCAAAAAATTTCCAAACAAAACTAATTTTCAAAATTCCATGCTTATTAATAAGTTAGTTACAATATAAAGCTTAAAAGTATTTAATTTTTTCAACTAATTAAAATATAATAATAAATTAACACATTAATAATACAGTAGTATTGCTACTAATAGCAATTATAAATAAAATTCTACCAATTTTAATTAATATCATATTTTTTTATTAATTGTTATAATAAATATAGTTGATACTTTACCATTCGGTGGAGTTGGTTTTAGTGGTATGGGACGTTATCATGGAAAATATGGATTTGATACGTTCACACATAAAAAATCTTGCCTTGGAAAGGATTTGAAACCTTTAGGAGAATTGCTTGCTTCGTAAGTTATTTTTTATTTTTAAAATTTTTCTCTTACATATTAATATTGTTTTTCATTTATTTTTTTACAGTGGACGTTATCCTCCTTATTCAGATCGTAAAGCATCACTGCTTGGATTTCTGCTACGTAAACGTCGTCCATTCCCAAATTTATATTTATCATATATCATAACATTCGGTTTAGGTATTGGATTTGCATTCTTATTAAATCACTACTTACAGGTAAATATATTTTTGTATTTATTATGAAATCAATAGTGTAAGTTTTTATTTCATACACCGTGCCTTCTTGGAAAATCACATAAATTATTTTTTTTATAAAGGGTAAAATTTTTTCACGCACCTATTAGCAAAATCATAAAATTTATTGGGAGCCGGATTAGTCAAACGCATTTGCATCCAATACAAGTAATGAATATATTATATTGGTAAAAGGATTGGTTTCATATTTCTTACACTTTGCATATGGATATTTAAACACATTTACATATTATATTAATTTTGTTTTTGTTATTATTAAAAAAAAAAATTATTATTAATCTATATGTAAGCCTCAAAGCAATATGTTTGTGAATATAAAAATTATATAATTAAAAATGCTGAAAATAGCAATAATAATAAATAAATAAGTGTTATCATATATATCATATTAAAAAATCTTCATGTTTTATTTATACTTTTTTAATAGTTCAATTTTGATTTTTTTTTTCAGCGTGATAATAACTAATCATAAAAACAAATTGATCTTATTTAAAAACAAAAAAATATATTTTTTTTATTGTATTGTTGTATATTATTGTTATTTTATGTTAATTTTTTTATATTAAACCAAATAAAATTGTGTGATGTGTTATTGAAATGTGTTTTATTTATTAAAAATAAATATAAAGTAAATATTATTCCAAGCAGACTATAAATTCTATGAAACACTCAAGCATAAAAGTAGATAAAATTTCGCTAAGTAATATAAAATAATTAAATCTGATATTTAATAAATTTTTTCATTACTGAATAGATTAACATTTTTATTCATATACCCTGCACTAAACTAGTGATATAATTCCATAATTAACTTATTTTATAATAAATCATTTTATATGTATATCATGAACGTAACCAAGATATGTTATAGATAGAAAACAGACGCAACTCTCCAATACATAAAATCAGAAGAGCAAAAAGAATAAATTTTAGAGGAAGAATTTCCTCTAAAGAAAAATCAGAAAAGAATAGAAAGAACAGTGGCACTTGTCGACCTTGAAGACCAAGTGCCGTTCGCCACATCCAAAAGGGACTACACAAACAGATACCTGCGGGTTACAACAACAACAGAAGAATATGACATTCTACTAAAATAATAAATAACTTAACAATTATTCTATTAAATTTGTCTGTTATTGCCACATAATTGCATGAACATACATATTCTCAATACATTTGCTATTGATCCGTTATACTTAGAAGGGACCATTCTGTCTGGCACTTCTTTTCGTTATGAAATGTTACTATGATCACACTTTTAGAGGGAATCTTTGCCCACATACACTTCTTAGTTATGCCTATGATAGATAGTTTATTATGTATATTTCAAATTAAATGAGTTTTAGACAATCAAACAAGCTCTTACAGTAAAGAACACAACATAGGTTTTATCACAAATTCATTGATGATTCAAATTGATGATTATACAAAGAAATATACATATATAAATAATAGTTATTTTTTAATTATTTTTATACTACACCACTATGTACTCTTTTCTACTGCAATGTTTCTACTTTCAATGTTTGAGTTATATGCTTGATATTTTATAGAAATTTTAAAATAGACGATAAATATTTATCGAAATTAGCAGCTCCATTCTGGCGTAGCTAGAATTTCTAAAGGAACTATATACCAAAAAAAATTCTTTTTAATAGCGTTTGTTCAAATCAATAAATTTCTGTATCCTAGCAATAATAAAGATGTACCAAAAAAAATTCTTTTTAATAGCGTTTGTTCAAATCAATAAATTTCTGTATCCTAGCAATAATAAAGATGTACCACTTTATCTCATCCCTTGAATACGCCACTGAATTTAAGTTATCTTTTAAATTCATCTATATCTGGCTTATTATGCTGCCAAACAAAACTCAGATGGCTTAAAACTATTCTAACTAATGATGATTGCTCCTGAAACCCATTTCCTTACATAAATTAAAATAAAAGCTGGTTACTATAAGCCAGTGGAAAATTAATTGATATTAGATAACTACTTGCCGATTAGGGTACCATGCTTGAAGATTGAATTTTTCATCAAAATCATTTCTGTCGCTATTATGGAAAGGATGATAAGAGCTTTATTTTTGAAGATCTAAGTAAGTAACGCCTAAGTAAATCATTAGGATCACCGTTATAACCTAACCTAACTTGTATAAATACTAAGTATATTTAAACAGTTTTACGAGTTTTAATTCAATATTGCTCTCTTAACTATCCGCCTGATATAGCATGCAGTATGTTCATTTATCCTTACTTTTTTAGATTTTGGAAGTGTAAAGTTCTTTACAATCAATATTAATTGAAAAATAAAACAAAATGCTTAAATAATATTTATATTTATTAAAAATTGTTTAGTTATACCGTCTTACTTAATTTTAAATAATTTATCTACTATATTATTACATAAATATTTTTTTTCTGTATGAGTTTTTAGTATAACCCGTAGCCAAGCAAATTATTTCTTATAAAAGCATTTAAGTTTTAGTTTACAATTTTTTCTATTTTACTAAACTTTAAAAATATTTATTTTTGTTTTAATATATATACTTTTATTAGGTAAGTTGTCGATAATTACAGGAAAATGCTAAATTTAATGTGTATAAAAAGAAGGCACAAAAGTAATTGGATTGGATGAGATAAAAAAGAATAAAGTGATTTTGTGGGCGAATGGAAAATTGAAACTAGTTGTTTTTATCCATATTACACAATCCGTCCATTCAAAACTTTTATAATAAATAGATTGACTGGCTTAAGTTATTTAAAGATTGAGAACTATGTTATCAACTTTTAAAACTGCATGAAATTTAGCATTTTCCTTTTCATTTCTATGTTACAATTATATGTACTATTGCCATAAACAATATATTGTTAAAAACTAAACATTTAAAACTAAAAAATATGCTTTTGTTAAAAATTAAAATTATTTTATATAAGCTAACTTAATTTAAGCTAATTTCCAATTTCCACCGCAATGGCAGTATATCCAACGATTACACCAACTCTTCAATGCTGAGGTTTTTCCAATTTTTGCCATGCTATTTACACATCCACATCGGTTACATTTCTTAACAGGAGTCTTAATGCAACCCAAATTTATGTTATAAATTCCATCCTTTATACCGTTTTGAAAAACCACTTCATCATAATATACATCTTGTAAACCAACTGGCTCTTTATCAGTAGAAAATAATAATGGTTTCATCATTAATATATGTGTGTTAAGTAGTGTTGTGGATGGATGAAAGTTTTTTGATGGTATAAGAATTTGTGTTGAAAGAGTACTACATTCATCGATAAGCATTTCATCTGGATCAGAAGTATTTTGTGCTAAGCGTGTTAGAAGTCTGAATAAAAGTGAAAGTACATCAGTATTTTCCACAGATTTTGTATAAATCGGTAAACACTGTGAGTTTAATAAGCCCCATATACGTATCATTACCAATAGTTCCCTTATACTACTAATGGCAACAATATCTCTGCTAATATCATAGCCTTGTTTTTTCGTTTTTGATTTAATTACTTCTTCTGGTAGTTTTTTAAGTATAGTAAGTGCTAAATCAGTAACCCACTGTATAAGTTGTTGTAGACTTTGAAGAGTTAATGGCTCGACTGTAAAATCCTTGGCATCTAAATTAAATAGTACTTTATCAACATCAGCCAATGGTTCAGACAATGTAATTGCTAAATTATCCGCTGGACCTTTGTCATGACAACTCAAATCAGAAGGTCTTAATAGACTTTTGAACGTAATAGAAATAGCATGCAACATAATGAGATTATCAAAATCTTGTTGCTTTGATTGTATTCTGCACATATTACTCTTCAATGATAAAAAGTTTGAGTAGTAAAAATGTCTTGTAAATGCAGATTGTCTTGCAAAGTTTTCTGTTAATTTTTCAATTAATATATCCAAATTGAGCAAATTTAACATGAGCACATCACTTGCATCTATACCCGTCGTTATGCTGTACTCCAGTAGAGATAATTGCAGTGACAATGTATTATGCATAAAGTTTTTATCATGATGTGTATTAGGTATCTGTAGAGCATACAAATTTCCATAATTATCAAAAACAATTAAAATTTGATTTAGCCAAGTTACATCTCCAACTACAAATTTTCCTCCGACTTGTCGATCATCATTTAAGCGTTCGGAACCAATGGCAGAAATCTTTTTTAAACCAGGTTCTAAAATCTGTACAGTGTTATCTTTTAAAACTATGTATAATCGCACAAAATCGCATAATAATTTTGATATACACACGTCGCTAATCTCAGCAGCAAAAAATACCTTGGAAACACTTTCCCAAGCTTCCGTACATATAAAATCACCTTTATTCTTTTGTAAGACTCTGTGTACACTTTGAGGTTTTTTATTCAGATTCCACTGTTCCAATATATGTTTGCCTTCTGCACTACTGTAAGCAAGCCATATGATATCATCGTTGTTTATTTTCGCCCAACGTACATGATTTATACTCTTCGGTTCAGTTGTTAAATAAAATAAATTTAAATAAGACTCACACTTTATGTTTATACTGTCATCACTTTTCACCGCCAGGCTTACTTTAAAGCAATGGAGTAGATGTTCTTTGGCACCATAGCTAATAGCGATATTAAAGTACCCACTGGAACAGTGAGATATACTACTAGTAGCTATAAATTTCCGTGATAAGCCGATACTTTGCGTTGTTACATTCAATTCGAGAGTTGGTTGACTGACAGCGTTTTCTCCATAATGGTTGAGTTTTGGTATGATAAATGCACCAAGTAGTCCCGAAGATGTTAATATTAGACAACCTTCATGGAACGAACTGCCAAATTGAGTTAAGCTCGGACGATAGTCACTGCGTTCAAATTTGTCAGTATAAATTGGCATATCCCGTTTTAATGTATTAAAATACGTAGCCTTTCCATTGTGAAAAAACTTACAATCTAAAATTTCCTCATTCGACAGCAAAGCCTTATATACGAGACTCCAGGAATTGAGCACTTGGTTATGTGGGGACCATATTTCAATTTCACCACTTCGATAACCAATAACAAGTAATTCACCGGTAGCATTCCATTCCAAAATGTTTACTTCGGATTTTGAGCAAGTCACTTTAAAGAAATGCCACGGTGAAATAATATCGCACACGAATACATAATTGCTGGTACCGAAATATGGAGCATCTTGCGAAATGCAAAAAGCCACAATATTTTTTGATGATGTTTTACATATCACTCTTTTATTAAACAAATTTCCATCTTTAAATTTATTGTTTTGTACTTTGAATAAGACGCTCATTTTATCACAAACCTGCCAAACTGAAAAGCAAAACAATACTGATACCTAGGTATGTACGCGAGTATTCATTTTGCAAAAAAATATGTACAGCGGCTATGACATCACGAAAAACACTAGAGAGGATGCCGCCATAGCCTAAAAAAAATTTTCAAAGTAATAGATAACATAGAATACGTATATTCTAAAATTTTTCTGTAATAATAGATCTATTCCTCGAGTAGTAAAACTCAAATAAAATACAAGTAAAGTACAAACTGAAAGCGTAATACAAATAAAGTGCCAAATTACGCTCTTTACACAGATTTTTATGGAAAATTTTTGTGTAAACTCTGGTGAGAACACCAGTTACACCCAAATAAATAATACAAAAATTTAAACTCAAACCAAAACAGTTGATTCCCACATCAAACAAATTTTACTTGAAATAAAATGTACGAGTAAAGTCTGTGAAGCATTTTCAAATTTCGACAGGAATGTTACGCTCTCTTAGATGCTCTCATTTACTCAAAAATTTGCTTAATGTACGCACTTGTGTATACACAGTGTTACTCAAACTTACTACGAGTAGTTCGTGGAACAGACTTATAAGGGCCATGTTATGCAGAGTGTCTCGGGCACGGCAAATTACGCTCTTTCGGGCTATGCCGAAAATGCATGTTATGCAGAGTGTCACATCAGATTGCCAATTTTGTATTTTTACTACTTCTTGGTTGTGCCTAAATTTAAAAGGAAATTTAGATATGCTCACTTTCAATTTGCCACTAAAAATAACTCGCATGAAAAAACTCATAGAGGCTGTAATAATGTTAATTTATTATTATATAATCTTATAATAATTGTTAACAGTACTTACGCGTTTCTTTAAAATCGGAAAGTGTAATAATTATATTATTAGCGATTTATAAAAAAAATGCTGTATTGCTTACTGCCATTTTTTCTCCAAAACGTACTAGAATTGTAGTAGTTTGCTCCTAAAAGGCGCAAATTTTGAAATTTATTACTAAACAACACTGTTTTGCCTTAGTGCCGGGACACAAATACGCCGGCTCTCATGCTGGAGTTTGAACGGCCATATTGTTTTTTCTCTCATTCTCAAATTTAAAATTTGCATTGAAAACAAAAACAATTGTACTCATGCCGTGCCCAAGACACTCTGCATAACATGGCCCTAACATGTAAAATAAAAATCATTTTTTACAATTTGTGTAATATGTGAATCATTGTATCGTTTATTTGCACTCTGACTCTGGTGTTCTTACCAGATTTTACGCAAAGCTGTTCCATGAGAGTAATTTGGCATATTATTTGTGTTGCGCTCTCAGATGTTACTTTACTTAAATATTACTCGAGTTTTACTATAAGTAGCTGGAACAGACCTTATATAGTTTGCTTTTATTTAATTCAATTTTAATAAATATAAGTCTTAACTCTTCTTTTTTTTAATGTAGAAGTAAACAGCTGTAAATAACGACCCTGTTTATAATGCAGTTTTATTACCCATTGAAGAAAACAAATATCAAAATAGTTTTTATTGTGCCAAACGCATGTAATTATAAACATTTGTCGGCTTTTTTTGTTGTTAGAGATGCGTAAATACCAGCAACTTTTGTTATTGTTGATATCTATAATTAGTATAATTATACTTGTTGTATATAGAAACGAAAATAATCGTTTAAAATACGTACTACAAGTTGTTAACTTTTTTGGCAGAAACGATGAAATTGAATTGAGAGAACAAAAACTAGTGAATTTAACAAATGATAATACATTTAATAAACCATTACCATTATGGCAAGTGATTGGCAACAACTTTTATGCATACAGTGCATATTGGAATAAAAATGAACTTACGCCTGGTGGAGAAGCAATTGCTATTGTTACTGGAAAACGTGACGCAATAGTTAATTTTCGTTGTGAGGCCGAATACGATGAAGGTGCACGTAATATATTAGGAAAATTTCATTTTCAACGTCACGGAGTTGAGAGAGAAAATGTTAATTTTATAAACTACAAATTCTATTGTCGTTTTAGTCGCGATTTTGGCATACCACAAAGAATCGCATTTACCGATATAAACACAAATATAAAAACTAATTACAAATTAAGGTTACGGCATTTGAAAAAGTCTGCAAATGAAGTAACCACATTGCAGCAGTCTGCGATTTGTGTAAATCTTATCAATTATGATATGACAACGTATTTTTCAAAAAGTACAGCAAATTTATTACAATTTTTCCTGCATCATCATATAGCACTCTCTGCGCCGGCATTTATTGTCTATAATAGTGACGAATTAAGTGCGAGTATTATTTCAACGTTGCAAAGTTATGGTATCCGTTTATATCTCGTACCGTATAATTTTCCATTCTCTCTAAATAATGCTTCTGCTAGTACACGTGAAATAGTAGAAGCGGATTGTCTTCTAAGAAATTATCAATTGTCCCAGCACACGCTTATACTAAATATTAACGAATTTTTTTTCCCTAACACAAAACTTGGAGACAATTCAGTTTTTCGTTCAATGCATCATTATGAAAATGAAATCACCCGATTTGAGTTACCAACGTTTGCAGTTTGTATTGGTGATAAAAACAAAGTGCTCGTAGAAAATAAACTATATGATCCTGAAGTGCATACACCCAATAAAATCTACTTATACAGAAATTCTGTGCAACAAGTGTCATTTGAATCAACTCGTAGCGTGTCTTTGCCAGTATCAACAGCACTTTTGCATCATTATATCGTATGTACGAATGTGGGCAAGGATGGTCTGCATGACTGGCGGAATTCTGTACGTGAGGATTTCATGCAAAATATAAATACATTTACAGAAAAAATGCGCATTATGCTAAAAGGATATTAGATCTAATTATAAACCTTTCACTATTTGCCTTTGATATGCCAAATTTAAATTTTTTTATAAAATAAAAATTTAACTATATTAAGTCCTTCATGAACTGATAGATTAATATGTTCTTAATTCTTATTGTGTTTTTACTTGTATTAAATTGTAATATATTTATAATAAAATTTAATATTATTTATATTAACTTTAATAGAAATGTATTAGAAAAAGACGAAATGTATATAAAAATAATACTCAAATCTAAATAATAAATATAAATACATTTGTTCACTAAATCTGAATATAAGTGAATATTATTTATTATTAAAACTTAAATTTTTTGTTGTGTTTTTTTGATAAGTTAATTCGATCCATGGTAAACATGCAAAATATACTTATTTTCCTTTAAAGAAGATTGTCGTTTTGTAAAAAAGTTTGTTAAATTAAAGTTCAAGGTAGATAAGATTATTTAGAAGTTCACATTCATAGTTTTTTAAATTATACTAATAAAGCAAGAACATTGCTTAAATCATTTTGACTAAAAGCGATGGTATATTCAAAACAAAAGTGCGTAGCATGTTAATATCACATGTATTATACTTCAAACCATATTTAAGTTCAAATGCAATTATTTTTAAAATGAACAAAATACAAACTATATTATATACTTCTTCAAAATTTTATTAATCATTCTTTTAATTTAGTTTTTCAATATTCATTGAAAAATAAAGTCTATATTGACGAACTGACATTATTTATTAATTACATATAAGTACACGTTAGAATTACACCAATTACACTTATTTTATAATATAAAAAGTATGTTTTATTTAACAACTTAATTCTTACAATAATGTATATATTTTTAAAAATTGAAATTGTACGTAAAAATAAATATTTAAACAAGACGCTGCATAATTGAAGCATTCTTTAGCCCTGCTACATCAATTGAAATGGTGTTATCAGATAGTTCACGTGTTGGAAAAGATGATATCAAAACAAAGTTACGATTAACGTACTCTGGTCTAGCACTAAAAAAAAGAAAAACAAAAAAATCAATATATAAAAATAAAATAACAGTTCATAATATATAAAAATGTGTACACACTTTTGTATATATTGATGTATATCTGCCACAGTGTGGGTCAAATTAAATTGTGCAGCTAAACGTGTACCATCCGCTAAACGAATCTGCAATGTTGTAACTGGTGCTGTAGTATTGACCTTCAATTTGTCTTTTGCCGCTTTTTCATCACTGCTATGATTCTTTGGATTACCAGCAACTGATGGACTACTCTCTGCGCCTTCAATGTTGGGAACGGGACTAAGAAAGTATATAAAAATAAATGAGTATACAGTTATAACCAATTTTTGTAATTTAATCAAATTCACCTTCCAAGTGTATGTCCAGAACCTTTAAATGTTTGAACGGCAGCAGTTTTCTTATAGTCTTCATGTCTATGATCCTCCACGTCAACATTTACCATGCGCCCCATTTGAAGTAACTCTTGAGGAATTTCACTTTAAAAAATATTTTTGATTATAATTATTGTTTATATTTTGCATTTTTATTTACCCTTGCATAACAGTTTCTAAGAATTCTTTATTCTCTGGATCATCATAAAGTCGCAGTTCTCCGTCATTTACCGAAAATCCTTGACTCCATAATTTTAACACAACTGCAGGCTGTTTATCTCCATCTTTATTCTTATTTAAAGCTGTAACGACAGTATGATCATTTTCTGTCATACCTAAACGCACACCTTGACCCCAATTTGGTTGGGATGAAGAAGGACCTGGACTCGGTTCGGCTAAGTTTTGCTCATGTGCCATACGAAACATATCGGTGAGCTGTTCACGAAAGTTTTTACGTTTTGGTGGACCTAATACTTGTTGTCCGGAGCGTTCAGAACCACCGGCATAGAATGCCTGACCTTCTTCCTCATTTGAAGGACGTTTTGTCATATCAGTGAGTGTCGCAAATCTATAGATCAGTAAAAACATTTGCTGATTTAAAATATAACTTATATATTTATGTATATATGACATTTTAGTAGATTTATTTCACAATTTAAGTTAATTGTTTAGTTAATTAAGTTTATTGCATATCCAAAAGTATATATTAACATATATGTTTTTAAGTTTTATAAAAATAAGTAGCACATATTTACGATATACATACTTTTGCTTTTTCGGCACTCCCTTGAATTTATCTTCGGAAGCAGTACCTGTTGGTGAACCTGATGTAGATGAGTGTGCTTCTGCAAAATCACCTCTTACAGCATTAGGATTTGCTACATCAGCATTTTCAGTGTCACCAGCCAAAAATGTTTGCAAGGCATCCTATAAATATAAAAA